TAAGTGTCAATAATAGCTCTAGAAGCGCCGCCTTTCCGCATTTGTTGCCCTGGCCAACTGCACAGCTGGTCTGTTTAATGAACTGTCTGGATTGAATAGTTGGCAGTTTTTTGTCTTTTTTTTTTTTTTCCCCCTGTTGTTCAGCCATGCATGTACAGTGTTTAGTGTTCACTGTACATCAGAAGCATAAAATGTTTTTTATCTGCTGTAGTACTGCTGATCATGGGAGTACAAGTCTAAGGAACAGTCACACGGGAAGTCATCAGGAGTTAGTATCTGTGCAGCGTTCCAAATCTGTGAGATACTCTTCCTTTTGAAACCAATAGCCCTCATCTAAACATGTCCTGAAATCTTAGATCCCCTAAAGTTGGGGTTTTCATGGGCCGTGCTTTCAAAATTATTTGCCTCTGAGATAATTTGCCTTTGAAAAGGCAACTTGTCCTATGTAGTATACAGTGTTCCATTGTGTCAAGTGACACCCCCCCCATGTCTTCTATCAGTAATGTTCTTCAAAAGTGTGTAGAAGAACTGGTGGCAAGTTCCTTCTTTTGCAGGGATGAGTAAGGGTGTGATAGAGACAGTGATCTAGCTGAAAACTACATTCGTGGACAGGGTTTTTCTGTTCCTCTTGGATGTAGTCAGACTTTGCAAGCTGTGTGGGCCTCTTTTCAATTTGATAGCATTTCTGTTGTTTCAGTGCTGGGGTGTTAAACGCATCTAAACGTTGGTGGGGTCAAACTAAGCAAACTAATCAAAAACCCAGCTCCTAATGTAGACTTGTCACTGTACTGGTAGGGTCTGTGTCAAGGAATGGGTAGGAATCCGCCTTGACTGTGGCAGGTAGGAGAAGGCAAAGACAAGGTGAGGTGTCCATCATGTGGAGATTTGTCTTGCAGCACAGCTACAAAATGTTTTTTTGCAGTCCAGTCTGTATGCTAGTCTGGCAGTGAAAGCAGATGCTGTATATATTTTATTCTGTTGTGTGACAAATGGCTGGTTTTCTTCAGTGTGTGTGTGTGTATGCCTTTCTGGTTCTCTGGAGACTCTCTCTCCCTCTCTTATGATTTTTCTCTTTAGCATGCCTTTCCAGAGATGTGCTGTGATGGTCTTGAGCTTCACCACAGTCCTTACTCCTACACTTACAATTTCCAGCTGTGGCACTGATCCCGCAATATGCATACGGTGATACTTTGCAGGCATCACAGGAAACCCTCAGGAGTGTGTCAGGACTTCATTTTTATAGGACGCCATAGTAGTTCAGCTATCTCAGACTTTGAAGCGCAGGTTACAGTCCCTTTGGAAATTTTTATGGATGTATATCATCTTGGAGCTGTGCCACTGGTGTCTATCTATTACTTTGTGATACTGTTCTGACTCCTGAGGGATGTTCTTGCTGAAATATTTCCAAAAGAAAACTCTTGCTATTGCAGCTATATTTGGACTAATAATGGGATAAGTTATGGTTTATCAGATCGGCTTTCAGGACTTGCACTCCAGTGGGGCCCTGAGTTTCCAGAGAAGGGAAAGTTTATGCAGGTCTCTTACAGCATTTTCCCGTCTCTTCTGCCCAATCCTCTGTCGCTTTAACCTGAAACTATAATTTTCTGCCCCTCTACTGTTTCAGATTACATAAAAGGAATCCCTTTTATGTGTCTTGTTCAGACTCAGGCTACCAAGTGTTAGTTTAATCATTTTTTTGGGAAATATTTATATTTTGATAGTGCTGGAATGCCAGCAGTCAATACCTAAGTGTTCCTTTCTGTGAGGTCCGTCTCTGTCCTCAATTAGGTGGTCCAAATGGACAAATCAGACAAAGGTTTGTGAAGAAGTGAGGGGGAAGAGAAGTGTGAGGCCATAACAAGTCTGCAGTGTAGCAGATATCCAAATAGTTACGGTAAATATCTGACAATGCACTTACTATTGGTAGAGATTTAAGAGAGGAGGGAGAGTGAGAAAATGCTGATATTTTATAGGTGGAAAGACAAAAGGAAAAGGACTATTGCATTTGTTTTTTAAAAAAAAACCAACACACAACAAACAAACAAAGTTTTTTAAATGTTGTCTTATTCCCCTCCTCCTATGAGAGTGTGCCACTGACTTGCATGGGACCATAAACAGATCTTCTGGTATACAGTGACATCTACAGAGCACATCAAACAAGACTTTCCCGTTTAGTACCATGTCTCTTATGACTGTTTTATGTACTCATTAGTTTAAACTGGTTACCTTATTTTATGCTTTTACATGTACAGTATTATTTATCTTTACACATTCTCATGGAGATCTACCTTTTCTTAAAAAAAAAAAAAAGGTTACTTCACCCTGGCAGAAGTTATTTTGACACTTGGAAGTGCAATAGCAGTTTACACACCCAAAGAGAAATTATTTTCTCTGGATGGATAGAGTGTCTAGTCTTACGGTGTTAATACCCTGTAAGAATTCAGCTTTTTAGAGGTAAAATTTCTTTAGTAACTGTGTTGTTCGCATCAAGAAGTGGATTTGTGATATTTTCAGTCTGAGTGCTTATTCTGAAATTATCATACAGATGGCTTTATTATGGGATGTATTCATTATTGATGTAATTTTTTAAACTATTTAAAGAAAATGCTAAAATGTAAATTCCATTTAGTTTCAAAAAGTTCTAAGTGAATAAGTCAAAGTTATGCTTAGGGCTTTTTGCAGGATTTTTTCTTTTTGTTAGACAAAATCCTTAATTCTTCTGCATGCGTTCTTTTTCTTTGGTTTTGCTTCATTGATTTACTTTTGTTCCCTTAATTTTATTTTTTTGTTTTAAGCTTCTACAAGCTTATTGTGAAAAAAAAATAGCTAGGTTCTGCAGTATGATTTTATTGGCATTTCATCCTTTATTTCTCTGTGCAAGACAGAACAGAATCCAACTTAGTGTATGTTTACAGAAGATTGCCTGTGGATACTGTTTCCTTAAGACTTGAGCACGTGTTTTAACTTCGTGCACTGCACGCTGTCACAGTAACTTCAAGACAACCATAGGATGCATAAAGTGAAACGTGCATGTAAATCTTTGAACACATAACCCTTAGGCTACTGAGGCTCTAACCCTACATTTTAAAAAGGACTGTGTAATAAGTAATTTTTTAAAAAAACTTAAAGGGAGGGGAAAACTAACATTTCCTTTCCAAATATGAAAAGACAAGGGAAAAAGTCATTATTTTTTATTTCTGCTGTCTTTAAAAAGGTGATTTATTAAGTATGTGTAAGAGTATAGACACCTAGAGTCTGAACTTCCTGGCATTCATTTTTTGGTTGTTCTTGTTCATGCTTTTTATGTAAAGGTTCTTCATTTTGATATTACAAAATACAATCATTTGGGGGTAATTTTTCTTTGCTCTTGGATAACATTGGATGTATCAAAACAACATTTAAAATTACTAAATTGATGTGTATGTATAAATGCATCAGGAGTTGTTCTGGTCTTGGGTTTTTTCCCCTACCAGGTCAGATACTATAATAGTATTAACTGCAAACCAGATCCAGGCCTCATTAAACTAATACAGCGGAATGATAATCAGAAAATTGCCAAGTAATGAACAAAACCCAGAAGTTTTAAAACTTATTAAGCGATTGTGGCTGATGAGCAGGTTTTGTAGCCAAGGCTTTCATGTCTGAAAAATTACCCTGATAGTTTGCCAGCTGACGTTATTGGTTAATTTGTGTTAAACTCGATTTTTGTAAAAGAAAGAACATAAGGTAAAATAATATCTCAGTGGAGCAGGAGGGAGCACTTAAAACCCATGTAGTAAAAATCTACTCTTCTATATAAAATCCTTGGCAAAAAGCATTAAACCCTTTGGAGACATAAATGAGTAAAATAGTCTCTGTAAAATATAAACATACAATAAAAATGTATGTGAGCGGTGAATGTCAGAAGGACATCAGTGATTATCTATGTATTCAATATTATGCCCCAATAGAAGATAAAATGTATGGTAGATGAAATATGTCCATTCTGTAAGAAGAGACAGAATTAATTTTTTTTTTAAAAAAAAGTGACTATGCTAGTGGTAATGTTTCAGCGTTCAAAGGCTGTCAGCATTTTTCCTCTTCTAGAGATCTGTCTGTTATATGCCCAAACTCTGGATTTCTTTTGTTATTCTTACATTCAGAGATTTTTAGTTGGAATTGAAGGGATTAAGAAAAAAAAGAAAAATACAAACCATGGAGTTTCACAAATGGAATGAACTTCCATTTCGATAGTGGTTTCAAGTATGACTTTTCTAACATTGAGTATAATCACAGGAATCTTTCAATTGCTGCACAGTTATTACTGAAAGAGGCATCTGGAAAATGTCTTCCATTAGCCGTGGTTTTTGGCAGAGGCTATAACCAAGCATCGTCAGTGTAATTAAACTGACAAGTGCTTGAGATGCTGTATTTGTTTGCTGTATGTACTTTCCTTCAGTAAATATTACTAGTTGTTCTAAATCTCCTACTAGCTGGTGACCCTGACAACATTTAAACGTTAGTATAGCATGTAACGTGGCAGCATTGGGGAACAGCATTTAGGACAAAATATTAGAAGCTTTCTTAGCAAATACCTAGTTGAGAGACCGTTTGCAACAGATGAGCAGCAATAGATTTGTTCAGGAAAAGCTCAGTCTGACAGAGAAGGCAAAATACCTGACTCCAGCAGATTTCTCTTAATGAGCTGTAAAAACCTGGAGTGTGAAGCCCCAAACTTCCAATGCTTTCAAAACTTCCCAGGCTTTCGATGTGAATCCTTACACTCTAGTAAATGCCAGAATACGGCCTGTGAACTTGTAAGTTTAGCCCTTCAGGGGATCTCTGGGGCTGAGCCAACCCTACTGCAGGTTTTGGGTGAAGGCTGAACAATAAATGATCTCTTGATCAGGTGATCTCTAACAAGAGTTAAGTTTGAGCAGTAGCTTTCTAGCTCACTTTATTTGGTTTCAAGTTTGCATTTTTTTTTTTTTTTTAATAACTTCATGTACCTCTTCATCTAGACACCTCTTTATGTTGTGAACCATGGTGAGACTGGACCAATCCGATGCAACCGGTGCAAAGCTTATATGTGTCCCTTCATGCAGTTTATTGAAGGTGGAAGAAGATACCAGTGTGGATTTTGCAATTGTATAAATGATGGTAGGTGATGTTTCTCTGATCTGTGATTCATGCAAATTCCATAAAACTAAAAAGAAACTATATTCCCAGAATTACTTTCTTGACTTGCTGACTTGGTGAGAAAGTAGTTTAGTGAGATGCAGTAACTCGGCCTATTTCACAAATAAAAAAATACTACCCAGGAAAAATACGTAGAAACATTTGTTCAGTACAATTTAAAAAAGTATGAAAAATAATGCTGACTCGTGAAGGCCAATCTGATACGATCAAAAATTTATTTAAAAATAGTCTGTCAACATAGGATGCAAAGCTGTTTGTATTGCTAACTGAAAGCAACTTTTGTGTGGAAAAAAATTGATTTCTTTCAGAAATCTGAATGTCCAGCAAGAACCAAATATTTAGAACCATGTTAGCCTAGTCCTGTCCATGACTGCGGTTGCAATGGTTAAATAACCTATTAATCTTACTGTCACAAGTGTTGGTTTTCCCAGAAGATACCATGCCATATTTGTTCAAGTGTTCTGCATGTGACTCATAACTGTTCTTGTGCTCTTGGCTGAATCCCAAGCCTTTGCCAGAACTAGCCTTTCTAGACATTTGTATCAAGTTGGATTTCCTCGGCTGGATCACAGCGGTATAGTGCTTTCCCTAATACAGTAATCCTTTCAGCTCTGAAATGTGAACCTTCACAGACTTGCTCCAACTTCTTTTCTCCCTGACGCTCGAATCTTTGTGCAAGCATAGCAGTTAACAAATTTCATGGTTTGTTAGCAGTTTAAACTCTCATAAAGAGAAATTTAAATGCATTGTGAACATTAAGATGTTTAAGTTGCAGTGTCATTTTTAAATCATGCTTTGTATTACTACAGCGTCTTTTATCCAAGTCAGAAAGCACTTTAAAAAAAAAATACTTTAATGAGTCCTAAAAATGGCCAACAAACTAGATTGATATTCCCCCCACTCACACACACATAAACTTTTATAGGCAAAAACATGAAAAATAAGCATTCTAAGTATAAATTGATTGAGGAAAGAGGAGCTAAAATCCAGAGGTGACTTTCCCTGTGTGACTAACCATTAGACTAGCTACTGTATATAACTTGGTGGTGGCAAACCCACTTGATTTCTTAATGCTTTGGAGTTGTGCAGCTTTTATCGGTAGCTGCGGAAGGTTCCCAGTGTAATGGACCCCATGGGGGCTTTGCGGTACAGCAGGCCAGGGTTGTGAACCTTGTAGCGCTATTTCCAGTGAAGTGGTACTTTTAGGTAAAGCAGTACAGGCTTTAGGGAGAGTGCTGGTTTCACCGCTGTTCCTCTGCAGAGCTCTGGCCTGGTGATCTGAATTAAGCTGTGAGCAGGCTGTATCTGCTAACGAAGAAGTCGGTGTTAAGTCTGTATCCTGAGAGTACCAGGCTCCTGCCTGCGGACATGACCTGGGTCAGTTTTAACTACTCGAGCCTGACAGCGTTGAGGTGGGAGAATATGGCCATTTATAGGGGAATATGCCCTTTCCTCCAAATACAAGAGGCGCTGGCATTACTAGAATGTTGTGGGGTTTTGTTTGGTTGGGCTTTAAGTGTGGGGGAAAAGCCACAGGGCAACCTGGGTAAGTGTTTAAACTCTTCCCTTGATCAGTACCAGAGGAGCCTAGGTTAGTACATTGTATCTGTTTAAAGAAGTTGTTGCGTTGTTACTCTCCTCCGCAAAATACAAACTTTTTTCATGCTCTTGTGTTGGTTTTTAGTCCCTCCATTCTTCTTTCAACATCTGGACCATATTGGACGACGGGTAGACCACTATGAAAGGCCTGAGCTGTCTCTGGGATCTTATGAATATGTTGCTACTTTGGATTATTGTCGAGTGAGTATTTCCAGTATGAAAACTAATTTACAATTTTATGTCAAAACAAACAAAATCCTTTAAATACCTACAGTAGAGTAAGTGCACTCGTAAGCTGAATATCAGAGCCCAGGAACGTTTTAGAAAATGTAGATAGATGCGGAGAATTTAAGCTTACAATATTATGTTTTGTTCTTTTGTGCTATGGAGTGTGAGACTAGCAATAGCTACTACACAAAATAACAAATTGCCCAGCGAAGTCATGGATCACCAGTCTTTAACTGGGGCGTTCGTTTGCACCTAGCTAGTATGTTGGACTGTTTAGAGGATATAGTTGAAATTCTGATGCAGTGTTGCATTTTAGATGCCCGTCTTCTATTGATTTTGAAGACAGACACACGCCTAAATTGCCTTCCCAGTACTGTAAAGCTTCGCAAGGGAATCTGAGCTTGTAATCTTTTCCTGGCAAGAGTGGTTTTAGTATTCTGACCAGTAGGTAAGTTACAGTGGAATGGGTTCTCTCTCTCCTAATTTTAACTCACTGAAGAACTCAATCCAAATCCCACTCAAGTCACTGTAAATATTTGTAGTTGATTTTATTAGAGAACTGTATTTGATACTTCTGAAAGCATAAGTGCCTTAAACTTTTCAAACTTTAGCTCATTTTACAAAACTGCAAGTGTGACTTCATCTTTCCACAGTGTGGACATGTTTTTATATTCTTGCTGAAATCGGGCAGAATTTTCTTCCTGTCAGTGGAATTGGGGTCGTGATAAGGTTAGGAACGGCAAGCGGATCCTACAAAGTCTTGAGGTAGATACCAGTAACTTCCTCAGGAGAATTTTCTTCCTGTCAGTGGAATTGGGGTCATGATAAGGTTAGGAACGGCAAGCGGATCCCAAAGTCTTGACGTAGATACCAGTAACTTCCTCAGACCATCAAATTATTGCTGGTATGAAGAAAATGGACAGGTTTAATTCTGCTTTCTCACTAGGGTACTGCTCCAAAATCCAGCGAAATCCCCAAGATGACCTTTATAGATTTTATGGGAAGCTGGGTTAAACCCCAGAACAGGCGAGCATTGTAGTGAGGCATTACAGCAATACAGTGCGGGATCCTCAGTGCACATCCAGTGTAGCTCCATCAGATTTGGTTAAGCTTTATGGATTTCTGGCAGCTAGGCTTTTGAAAACTCCTGTGTAGTGAATGGCGCTGTGCCATTTTCACAGCTCTTTTTCTCCACTCCCGAGTGTAACCCTGTGTGATGCAGTCGTCATCGCACCACATCTTGCAGCGTGGTGGCTTTTGCCATATAGCTTAAATCCTTGGATCAGTCATCCAGTGTGGTCTGTCGTCTTGTTGCAAAGACCTGGCCATAGACTTACTAGAAGGTTACTAGAAAGAAATCTCTTATGAAATTAACACTTAGGCTGGAAGTGCTGAGTCATTAAACATTACAGAAGTTAACATTATTTTATAATTAATTTTTCATTTTGCTCTAAGTTGCAAAGGTTTAATTCTTTTATAAATTCAGTTTAAGACCAAAACTGAAAAGTCATTTCCTTTTGTGCTTATCGAATGACAAGGATGAACAGCTACAAAAAATGTTAACAAATAACAGCTGGTTTGCATTATTGTGCTCCTGCTAAGCGGATGTGGCAAGAGCACAAGTCCTCGTTTTGACCATGTATTTATCAGAAGTTACACAGGGATTCTTCGTAAATGGTGATGCGAATCAAGAGTTAAGAAGCAGTGTTCGATACAGTTTTTGAAACTAGAATGCAAGTACAGTGAACAGAACAGCTGTTAAAAGTACTGCCTGGTTTTAGTTCACAGCAATTAATCCTGATTTACATGATTGAAATGAAGTGAGATCAAGGGTATAATGTGAAGTTTATTTTGAAGTGTGCCAGGGACTATGGATAAGTCATAAGTCAAAGGTTAGATGGTATTTTTTTCTTAAATGGAGTTTTCTGAGGTTTAGTTTACAAAGTATAATTTGGTTAAGTGGTCAGAACTCTGTATACAAAGGCAGCGAAACAGTATAATGGAAAAGCTGTCCTGAATTTGACACCAGCTAATGACCACTACCCATCTTAATGGGAATGAGGAAAACTGAGCTTAGGGAGTATGATGATTGCTGTTGCTAAGTTCACTTTACATGATCTTCTTCCTGGGTGCGTCTCTAAGCATTACATTGCTTTATTTAGAAACAAAACCCTTCATCTTACTTTTTCTTACTTACAGAAACATGAGTCAGTAAGTAGCATATGTGACCGTTTGTGTGCCACTTACGTTAGGAATAAGAGGAATTCCCAAAGGAATCCATCTCGGCCCAAGTCACTGCTGTGTATGCAGCAGTTACATTGAACTTTCCACTCTTACGCTTTGATTATCTTGCAGAAAGTCGAGCTTGTTCCTGAAAGTACAGTTAGTTCAGCTGTCCAGAATGCACTGGAGCATGAGACAGCACGACAGACAGACAGGATGCAGATGATCACCACTTGGTACTGCTAAGAACAGAGATGTTTTAATTCTAGTTCGGTACCGAAGTTGTGTTTTCTGTTTCCAGATTGGTTAGAAATCACTTAACAGCTGTTAGAGGCAAACGCTAACCAAAAGTGAATTTAAGCGTTCACGTTAGCAAAATGGTTTGCGTATTGATACAGGGGATGCACAGTGTGGGTACAGAAAAAAGCCAAAAAGCACCTTTGTTTAAACACTTGAATTGTGTTTCAACTGTTACCCTCTACATGTTTTATTCCATTAAGATGCTATTTTGCAGTCGTCATGTTTTATTCCAGGGGTAGACTTTACCCAGTACGTGTCAGCTTTCTGCAATAGTTACTGTTTATGATCCATAGCATTTTTCAAACAACTGAACACTGTATTTAGATTGCTTTATGGTACAACCTGTAAATTGTTTCAACGTAACAAGACGCTGTCTAATTTGCTCTGTGAATGGTCTTTTTTTTTCTGTAGAACAACAAGCCTCCAAAGCCACCAGCTTATATCTTCATGATTGATGTATCGTACAGAAACATAAACAGTGGCCTTGTTAAACTCATATGTGATGAACTGAAGACACTGCTAGATAAACTCCCAAGGTAAAGAAACATTGTGTGCTTTGCTTAACTCACTACACTGCAGTTTTCATGCAGCTTTGCAAGTTGAGAGGTAAAAGCAAGCTACAGAAAATGTCAAAAACTACAGTACGGGAATTTTTGGGGTGATAGCGATCAAATGTTAGTTTTAACGCTGCTGGTAGGTCTGAAACGATGTCTGGGCTTACTATATGGATGGCAAGAATCTGTCGTTCTCGTTGCACGTGTAGCTGGCATTCTTTTCCTTTCTTGTAGTGAACTCTAGTGGTATTATCAGCTAAGTACCAGCCTGTCATTTTGACTTGCTGTAGTTCTGTTTATATATAGTTCTCTTTACTGCAATTAAACAGGGATATATCAAAACCAGAATACTCAAGAATGGCAAGTCTCTCTAAAGCCGTAGTGTTGGTGACTTGTTTTTTTTAGCTCTTATTGTTAATTAGCAAAACTTTTTAAAGCTTCTTGCTGTGCTGTGAGACTCTTCTGTCCTGGTATATATCTAAGATGAGAACAAATCTTGTAGGCAGCAAACATTTTATGAAATGTAGCACATCTCCTTTGTGAGCATTGAACACACAGTGGTAGTATTACTGCTGATCAGTATGTATGACAGTATACTGTTTTAGTGTAGTTTAGTATAGTTTTCAGTGTGGTGTATTAATACAGTATTCATTAAAGTTGAAATAATGCAGACACACGTAGTTAAATGAGAGCAGTGGAAGACTGAGAAATTAAGTAGACATTTCTCAGTGCAGGCCTCTAAAAGCATTGAGGAACATACAGAAGGAAAATGCATTCCGAATAACAGTACTCGCAGAGGGAGAACAGACCTCAGAAATGGAGAGAGCAAAGTGAGGAAGGGTGGGAGAGGAGATCCTTGAGATAATCTGGGATATGATAAAAGTATTTTATTGTATTTTCTTCTGGGATCTCTGTGCATGAAAGAAATTCCAGTCCAGGGTGGGGGATGAGTTTGTTGGGTGCCCACGTAAGGCAAGTCTCTCGAGTACTTTGTCATTGAAGATTACACTGGAGACACAAGCAGTCAATATTACCCTGAACCTATCTCAGAGCTTTCCATTAGGGTTGGTCATGACTCTGAAGATAATAAAAGGCACAAGTGTAGGTTTTCGTGTCCACTGAAAAAAGTAATAAAAAAAAATAAAGGGCAGGCCCTTTAGTTTCTTCAGACTCATCTGTTTTCTTTAAACAGTATTAATTAAAAAAAATATTAATTAAAAAATCCCATAAGGTATTCCACCAAAATTTGAGCTGAAACTTGTATTTTGGAGCTGACACACGAAGGACACTGGGTGTTCATTTTCTGTTGCTGGACAAAGACACCTGCAAAAATATTCTGCTGTTACCATGGGAGGTGAAAGCCCTGTGCTGGGTATTCACTCTCTGCTCATATCTTTGAGAGGAAAGACTTGGGGTAGCAAAACAATCTGTGTCACAGAAAGGCCGTTGGTGGAAGGGCCTGTGCCAGGTGGGCCTGGGAAGGTGGCTGCGAAGTGAGAAGTTGGGGTGGCAAAGAAGGGATTAATTAATGTAGGTGGCTCACGACCTGGTGTTAAGAACTTTGTGGTTTTGTAGCCTTGTAGCGCAGCAGGAAACACGTTATCTGTTTGCTTGAAATTTTAGGGCAGACGCTTTCAAACTTTATGTTTTCCAAACCAGAAACTGCTGACTCTGTATTTAGAGAAATAGGAAGAAATGTGTTCATAGAAATTGTGCTTATGAGCTCAGAAAAATCTGGGTAGCTGGTTGTGCAAATATGATTGTTAGGCGCATAATTAAAAAACCCATTTGAATGCATTTCTGTATGTATGATCCAGAGAGCTCATTCTGAGACTTTAAAAAGAGCTAAATGGCGTGTGAGCTACATAGACAAGGGGCTGCTACATTTACAGCTAATCTTTAAAACTTTGATGGAAGAGATTGGGTAAAGTGTGGCAATACAGACTGCCACAGGTAGGAGCAATATCTGAAAAAATTGTCCCAAATACCTGCTGTGCAACAACTTTGAGACTACTAGGATGGTGTGGATGCTTCTCTGAAGTAGGAGGGTGCTGTATGTGCAGAAAGTTAAACCTTGTCCACATCAAGCTCCTGAAATGCTCCTTGTTAATCGTGTTACTGAGAAAATAGTGTCGGAGTGCTGGGAACGATTAGAAATCTGCATTCAGAAAAGTTGCATCAGTTTGAGTTAGCATATCTTGGAGAAATTATTTAAAATGCTTCTTTACGCAGTGTGTTCAATATAGAATATTGTTTTGGTTTAGATTGAAGTAGCCCCTTTCTTATCCAGTTGTGTTCCCATGAAACACAAATGATAGATTAACGTTCTAGACTGACGTGAGAGTTAAAGATTGTAGATGAGAAAAATTATTTCTCTCCCAAGCTCAAGGTTTTAGATGGAGCTTGTGAAACAGCTGATGACAATTTTTAATTTTTTTTTTCTTTGAAGACAAACAGATGTAATAGGAAGAAGGCTGACAGTTTTTTCTATTTAGTGTAAGAAAAACTAACAAGAATTGCAGTAAAAGTTTATTTGTGTTGTTTCTCCTCTTTAGTTTGACTTCTGATTCTGCAAGCATTTGTAAAGTCATTAGACGCAAACTGTTGGTTGCCGTGGAACGGCACAGAGGCCTTGCCATTGATTTTGGTGGGGCCAAGGCTTTACACTCCTTAGGATAAATATTTTCATACCCTGGCTGCTTTACTGTGGTGAAGGCTCAGGGGACTGTTAACACTCCTTTGTTTCTTCAGAGGCTAAAGTGAAGGATAAATAGCAGATTTTTTTTGCCCTAAGTGCCTAGTAATTGGAAATACTGCGGTAGGGCTCTTATTGAATTCTTTTGGTGCGATAGTGACATCTGTATGAGTCCCTGTACGTTATGGTATCCTGTTTGTTGATATGCATATTTCTTTGTGTTAAATCTTTTACAATCATAATCTTCCATGAGTGACTTCTTTTGTAAACTAAAGAAAATTAAATCAGCTTGGCTATTTCTGTGGTTCCTATTGCTGTGGTTTCAAAGAACTTTGTGGTATGTAGTTCTGCATGCTGGTGAGATTAAACAACAATTCTTGCTGTTCGCCTTTTACAGATGGACACTGAGGCACAGAGAAATCAAATCATTTGCTTTCAGGTTATAAATTAAATCAGTGGCATAGCTGGGAATTGAATGAGGCTTTCCGAGTTTCAGTACTCTGAATACGGAAGTGTTTCAAACATGCGAAAGCATTAGACTGCGGACGTGGTATTTGCTGGTTTGGTGACAACTCGCCCTAGGTTAAGTAGGCTGCTTAAAGCCATACAGAGCACATGGGCTGACCTGTACCACAGGCTTCCTGTCTGGTGTTTTTCGTGATAAAGGCTTGGCTTGTCATTTACAAGAGGAACACCCTGCTGCGAGGAGGCGCTATTTTATTAGTAACTAAGACCCGTTTTTTGAATAGGATTGCCTTTTAGGGAAAAGCTCACTAAACTTAGGACTGCCAACCTGGTAAGGGTTTAACTAGTGCTGTTAATGATGGCGCTACTAATGGCAGAGAGGGCTACTGCTTAGAGGAGTCACCTCCACAGGAACAGAGGCTGAGCCTGCGGCGTTCCCGCAGGCGTAGCTCGCAGCAGCAGTGTGCTAGCTCTGCTTGGCCCGGAGCTTACTAGCAACAATGAGTAATTTCTACAGCATCTTTTCTGTGTGATACACGGCTATGGAGGATC